ACGCAGCTGCCTCCCCTTCCTCCTCCTCTGCCTCTTGCCTCTTACCTGACTAGAGATTTGGCCAGGCTCCTGGCGGATAATTGAGGCCTCCATGGCCCGTTGTCCACGTGCCTGGTGCTGGGGCGGCCTCCCCGCGGGCGGAGATCAGCTCCCTCGGGCGACCAGCCCGCTAATGGTTCTGGGCCAGCAGCTGCGGCACGCACGCCCGGCAGCCCTTAAAGTGGCCTTGCCCTCAGGCCTGGCGCCTGGGGAAGCAGCAGGAGGCTCTGAGGTCGAGGAGGAGAGGACTGCGGGAAGCGGTAGGAGGACGTGGGTTGAGGGCAGGCGGCAGGGCTGCCTGAGAGGAGCTGCCCAAGGTGCCCTGGAGGGCCTTAGGGGACAGGACCCTGGGACTGGCCCATTCTCTGGGAGATGGATTACACAGACCTTAGAACTGCCTCAGGCCTGTCTACTGAATATCATATGAGTATCTTTCAAGTTTTAATGTTAAGTATTAGCAAACAGGTTTATTTTCTTTTCCTGGACAAACGTATGTGTAGGATAGGGAATGCGGGTGCTGCGTTCTTTCCAACCCTTAGAAAAGTTGAAAATTGTAGAAGCATCTCATTTTGTCCCATGATTCAACAAATATTGTCCCTAAGTGAGAAAGTTTCCTAGAAGTGCTGCTATATAACCCAATTTATTCAGCTTTCACTAGACATTTTTTAAATATATATTTTATTGATTTCTTACAGAGAGAAAGAGTGAGGGCTAGAGAGTTAGAAACATCGATGAGAATCATCGATCTTGCACACCCCCTACTGGGGATGTGCCCACAACCAAGGTACATGCCCTTGACCGGAATCGAACCTGGGACCTTTTAGTCCGCAGGCCGACGCTCTATCCAGAGCCAAAATGTTTTTGGCATTAAACATTTTATTGAAGTCTGTTGAGTGCCAGAATCTTTTGTAGGTCTTTACTGCTGCTCCTGATTTTCCCATTGCTAGAATGTTGGATATGTGTGTGGGGAGGGAAGGGAGAGAATGATATCTGACAGTGTTTGTCAGTTTGGATTGCCTAAACTCTTGATCTCATTTGAACCATCAATACCCCTTGTCTCAGGGCAAAACTCCTGTATGTACTGAACAAGTCCTGGTGTGTTTGGGGGGCTTGATTTAGATCTTGAGGACATGCAAAATTATTATTGTAATTCTGCATTATTTTAATGGGTAAGGGTGCAGATAAATTTCTGATGAGATCATTCTGCATTATTTTTGAAAGTAAATGTACACGTTTTAATATTGTTAACGAAGAAACCATTGAAACCTATAAAAAAATTTTGTGAGTTTATTTGAGCCAAACTATCGACATATGCTGGGAAGCAGAACCTCAACAGATTGAGATAATGCTCCTAAGAATGGCGGGTTATGTTTCTATATTTATACATTGCAATCAAAGGAAAGGGACATAGGTTAGTTACATGAAATTCATTGGTGATAGATTAGGGAGGTGGGACAGAGCTAAGTGGGGAAACCTCTGGGACAGGGCAAAAGGTTAAATGATGAACATGTGAGCTTCTTTTACAGAGATGGATACAGGATACTCTAATGTAATTAACAGTTGACAATTAATTTGATAACAATAACAATGAGGGAATGTCTCAGGGTCATTTGTTGTGCCCTGAGGGGTCCGGGGTAAAAAGGAAGTGACAAGTTACCCAGACATCTCACAGATATGTTATCTTAGAGGCCGGAAGGCAAATAGGCTCAGTAAAGTAGATCAAAGTTGATCTTTGTCAGATGAAATATCGGTCTAGGACATGACTACCCACTACAACCTATTTGTAGTTAGATATTTAATTTTCAAACCATTTTTTGTGGTTATTTTAGGTCTCTGAGTTTGCAAGACTGCCACGCAGGCCTCCCCTGAGCTTGTCAGGTTAGCATGTGGCTCTTTTCATTCATATATGTCTTGCCTACCACCTCACCTTTCAATTCAAAACTCTCATCACTTTAATTTCCACTCCAATTCCACAGCTTTATTCTCAATACTGTAGAGTAGCTTCAGCTCAGAAATATTTAAAAACCATTGTCTATCTGAAAGGGTTAAAAAGAATAAAACAGGGCAGAGAAAGACGTACAGTGCTTAGCAGATATCTTGCAGAAATCTTGCAGCCTTGAGTCCAGCATAGCTCAGATAACCAGAAGACATCTGGCATGGGAGGAACCAAAGATGGACCAGACCTTTACGTCAGCAGAGCAGTTTGCAGCCAGCAAGGATTAATAAAAACCTCCCTCTCCCTGTTCTCTTAGCTGATGCCTTTCTCAGTCTCAGCCTACCTGCACCCAGGTGCAAGGAATAACATCTTTTTTGACACATTATGGCCTCATGTCATAGGTGTGTGGCCCTGGCCCACTCTGAACCTTTCATTACCAAAGCCCTACTTTATAAAATAGGATGTTGTCTGTGCAACAAGCAAAGGATGGCTGGGACCCCTGTCTGTTATGTCAGAGATGTTCTTTGATAGCACTCTAGCAATTTGCTCTTTAGCTATTATAGTTTCCAAATTTGTCTTCTAAGTTTAAACAGAACAGACTGGGAAGGGGGTGGGAGTGTCCAGAGAACACTTTACTAGTCACCCTTTCCTCCAGTTAATAATCTCTAAGGTGACCAAACTATTTCTTTTTTTGTTTGTTTTTATTTCAGAGGGAGAGACAAAAAATTCAGTGAAGGAAAATCATTGATCAGCTGCCTCCTGCGTGTTCCCCACCACGGATCGTGCCTGCAATCTGGGTATGTGCTCAGATGGGGAATTGAACTGTGACCTCCTACCTAGCTCATGGGTCAACGCTCCACCACTGAGCCACACTGACTGGGCAAAACTGCTTCTTCACATGACAACTTTTTGCATTTAAAGACATTTTTTGTTTTTAAATTTGATCTATGTTCTTAAAACATATTTTTAGTTCTAGCTGGTTTGGCTCAGTGAATAGTGTTGGCCTGCAATATGAAGACTCCCAGATTTGATTCCAGTTGGGGGCACATGCCCAGGTTTCGGGCTTGATCCCCAGTGTGGGATGTGCAGGAAGCAGCTGATCAATTATTCTCTCTCATCATTAATATCTTTTCCCCTTTCCCTTCATCTCTGAAATCATTTAAAATATATTTTAAAACAAAACATTTTTTTTAATCTTTTTGGATCTGTAAAATATATTGTGATTAGAAGAAAAATTTGGAAGGAAGCAAGCTACTTAAAAATAATGAAATGTTTTCTTTTAAGCATTTCTGTTGCTAAACTGAATGCCAAATGGAAAAATTCATTAGGAAATCCATTTTGACTTGAGTTTGCCAAGAAGAGTCCAGAAAACTGGTTTTATATATATATATATATATATATATATATATATATATATATATATGCCAGATTATGATTTCTGAACGCATAATAATCTGGCCACTCAGTGTATATCCTATATAATAAAAGACTAACATGTAAATTGTCCCCTTGATCAAGAGTTCCACCAGCAAGCAGGCAGGCCGGCCAACCGCCTATGTCCCCTCCCCCTGGCCAGGCTGGCTGGACTCCACCCATGCACAAATTCATGCACTGGGCCTCTAATATACATATATATACACTGAGTGGCCAGATTATTATGCATTCAGAGATCATAATAATCTGGCCACTCAGTGAGCGTGTGTGTGTAATGGAAGAGATAATAGATGGAAAGACAGAAATACTGATGTGAAACACATCAATTTGTTGCCTCTTGCATGCACCCTCACCAGGGCCCTGGCTGAGGAGGAGCCTGCAACTGAGGTACATGCCCTTGACCTGACTCGGACCTAGGACCCTTTGGTCCACAGGCCAATGTTCTACCCACTGAGAAAAACCAGCTAGGGCCATTTTCTGGCTTTCAGCTAACAACTCCTAAGGCTGGCTTAGGCATATAGACAGAAAGACAATAGCTCATATTATCAAAACCTAGCACTTACGATCTATTTGCTATCATCTTGGGATATTTTCTATCATCAAGCCAATGGAACTATAATTAAAAATACTCATATTAGGAGCTGGAATCAGAGGAAATCTATAAAGATCATTTATCCTTCCCTACCTCTGTGTAGGAAGGACAAAAGAGAGTCTGGCCTAACAACTACTCTCCTGTGTACAGTCCTTCCTTTTTGAGGCTAGTGTGTGACCTCTTCTTTCAAACTATTCTCTTCTATCTTGCGAGTTACTTAACTTCTCTACAGCTCAGTGCACTATTCTATAAAATAAAGATTATAATAGTATACATAGTACACACCTCATAGGAATGTGAGAGGTTAAAATTAATTGATATAAAAGCACTTGGAACATTACTGATTCATAGTAGTGAGAGGAATTAGAAACAGGTTTAGAAAGACAGGGTAAGGGTTGAAAGAAGGGAGGAAATATGGATGTTAACTGTTCGAGCCAGCTAAAACCACAAGAATGCTAGTTTTGTAGGAAAACAGGATGCCATAAGAATGCTTATAAGGACAGGAGGTTACAAGAGATGGGGAGGAAGAGGAAAAAGAGGAGGGGGGCATGAGATGGATTTTAAAATTGTTACTGGACAAAGAAGATAGAAGGAACCAATCAGAGAATGACATAGACAAAGTATGGGTCCATAGCAAATAAAAACCCCTAGACAAATAAACTTCGATGACAACCCATTCTCAGGTCTTCCCCTCGTGGGGAGTTTGTTATTTGCTTATAATAAATTTCCGTACTTTTGCTTAAAACTTCTGCTTTACTGCTTTAGCTAGAATGTTTGTTTTCAGCCTTGGGACTCAGTCTGCAAGGGGTTTTTCTTGGGTCTCTAGCCTGCTGACATTCAAAATGGAACTGACACCATTGGCTCTTCTGGTTCTCAGACCTTCAGACTTGGACTGGAACAAACATATCAGCTCTCCTAGCTCTTCAGCTCACTGACTGCACATCCTTCAGATATCTCAGCCTCTATAGTTATTGGGTGTTATAGTAAATCAATGTGTGAGTGTGAGTGTGTATGTGTACAAAAGAAATATCAAAATATCCAAGCCTGTAGAGAGATTTTGAGTTTATTTGAGCCAACTGATGACAATTGCAGGAAAAAAATTTCAACGGATTGAGAAAATACTCTGAAGAATAGCAATTTTACTGCTTATTTAATACATCAGAATACAAGGAGAAGACATTAAGGGAGGGTTATATAAAATTCATTGGTGGTAGATTAGGGAGGCAGGAAAAGACAAAGCAAGGAAATCTCTGGAACTGGATGAAAAGTAAAATGGAGAGAGACATACTTCTTTTACATTGGTGGGTAGATAACAATTCACATTTATAGCACATAGATGGTATTAGGGGAAGAAGATAACAATGAGGGGTTCTGTGGTCTCAGGTTATAGTGGGCAAAAGTACCCTGAGAGATCTAGAATATAGAAGATTACTCTGACATTCCAAAGGCATGTTATCCTAAATGCAAAAAGGCAATAGAAAAGGCTCAATGAAGGTGAAGACGGAGCTTTGTCAAGGAAGATACTGGTCTAGGACATGACTCTCCACCATGACTCGCTTTTAGTTAAGAATTTTTATGTTCAGACCATTCTTTGTGGTTACTTTCTGTCTCTGAGTTTATAATGCTCACCATGTAAGCCTTTCCTGGGTTTGTCAGGTTTAGTATGTGGCCCCTTATTCATTACACACACACACACACACACACACACACACACACACACATACACGAACACATGTACATATATATTCTGTTGAGCTCTAACATAGAAGCTGTTCTTATCCAAATTTTGTCTAGCTATTACTCTGAAAAGGCAAACTACAACCAACTTAACAGTAATGAGGTAAAACAATCATCTAGATACTTGCTGACAAAACCAATTTTGCTGACCTCTGGTCTAAGGTTACTTTTTAAACTTTAAGCTCCACTTTTTGTCATTCCATTTCTTAAACAAGGCAGAGACTGACTGAAAGCTATTTACCAATTCAATTCCTTGGCCTGAGGGACAGACTCCACCAATTCTATGTGTTTCCAAAATACAAACCAATGAATATATTTGAGACTAAGTAATTCAGGGACAATTTGTTCAAAAAGTGCATTATTTAGACAGTTTCAAATAAGGTCTAATAAATTAAAGGCCATTGGAGGTTCAAAAAATATTAGAATGGATGATAGCTATAAAAACCAATGGCAATCTTTCAAAATCAATAAACAAAAATAAAATGCTATTATTTACCTACATATCAGTAGCTTATATGTCTGTGAATATCTTGTCTTCTGCCAAAGCAAAAACTGTGATGCCCACTCACCACAGATTAAGCCTAATGTCTTCACATTTATTACATTAATTATAAAAGCTTTTCTTTCTAATAATTTAATTTATTGGCTTTTTAATATATAAAATTCCAATGACTGAATTCCAAAATAAAAATGTATTTATCATCCATAAACTTAATACTGTTTATATTTGTTTTTATAAAAGTTTAGCCTTTTGGAAAAACTTAAAGAAATAGATATGGCAAAATAATTTCTTAAAGTATTTTTTTTTTTTGCCCAAATTAAGCTGATTAATAATCACTGCAAATTTTAATGCAATACTAATCATACCCCCAAATTTCCCAGGTTCTTACTAGGTCAATACAAATTGAAATCCAGAAGACTTATTATTCTATCTGTATTCATTTTAAGTCTAAAAGACTTCATTTGCTAATGAAGAGTAAGCTACTAAATAATTTCATAAACCTTTTTTTTCTCCATTGGTCTGTACCCTGTTTTGAAAAAGTCTTTTTAAATGTTATCTGAGAATTATTTTAGTTTAGGAATATAGTTTTTGTTTAGCTTACATACTGGAAATACTGAAGAAAGAAATGCACAATTAGTGTAAAAAGAGAAGATAATATTTTAAGTCATTTCTTCCCAGTTCAAATAAAATTAAGGTTACTAAATGCCAAATTTTATATAAATATATAATAATATCCTACTTTGCTTTCTGAAGGATAGCAAATACAAAAATAGTTTAACATTAAGTTTAATGAGGGCACATGAATTATTAGTTTTAACTGCAAAAATATTAGCCACATTTAGAAAAAAATAAACTATAAGAATATAACTATATTTCTAAAAGCCAGATGAAAGAATACCAATTATTATCCTTATAAGTAGAATACATGCCATAAAACTTATTAAACAGTCAATCTGTAGAAATGAATACATTTAAAAACTACTGGTTAATCCATGGGGAATTTCACATTTGCCTATCAACACAACTGCATCCATCTTGTAAGTATTTGGTATAGGTGATTCATAGCATATCCATCATTTATCTTTCTTCTTTGCTTCATTCTTCTCGAGTTCCTCTGTCTGATCATCCTTCGCCCCCTTCATGTTTACATTTGCTCCCCCTGTTTGGTTTCCCTCCTTTGAATTATCAACTATTTTATAGTCCTCAAGGATTGTATGTCCGGTTTGTTTAGCAGTTTTCTTTACCATTGCTTTGATGCCAATGTTATCAATATTATAGGCAGTTAAACCAACATTGATGGCAGAATCTACTGCATCGTGTGTAGCTTCTCCTGCAGTATGTCCATATCTTTAAAAGAAAGATTAGAGAAAGTACAATGAAATTATAAATATAAATTAAAGACTTCTGAATAGTCACACGATTAGCATTTTATCACTGAAAGTAAAATCAAAGGTTAGGTTTCAATTTAATTAATAACTTAAAACATAGGAAAGAATAAAATCATACTGTATAAGGCGGTATTTTCTCCTTTAGCAAAAATTGTGTGTGAAAACAAATTCTAGATTAACAGAAATTACTGTAATATTGTTTATGTCTTAGCTAGTTTGGCTGAGTGGATAGAGCATTGGCCTGTGGACTGAAGGGTCCCAGGTTCTATTTTGGTTAGAACCCAGTGGAGGAGCATGCAAGAGGCAGCCAATCAATGATTCTCATCATTGATGTTTCTCTCTCTCTCTCTCTCTCCCTTCCTCTCTGAAATCAATTAAAAATTTTTTTTAAATAATTTTAAAAAAGATTGTTTATGTTGAAAATAAAATCTCTATATATAAAAGGCTAAGTGTCCATCTGACCAGTAGCAATGACACATACTGACCACCAGAGCCCAGATGCTCAATGCAGGAGTTGTCACTATGCACACTGTACATTTAAAAATAAATGGCACCACAGACCTGGCATCAACAAACCAACACTCAGCTTCCCCCCAGTGGGACACAGGCCCCGCCACACCCCACCCAGAGTGACACGCCATCAAATCGCAGCCAACACTGCCAAGACTCCATGGCGCAAAATACACCTCATAGCCCAGCCCAGCCTGGAAATTGTCACTGTGAGTGCCGGGTAATGACATCACGTAGGAACGCCCAGCTTCCTCTCCCTAGCAACTAGCCTCCTTGGAGTTTCTTCAACCCAGGAACCCAACTTGCTTTATAGCCAGGTGCAAACATTTTACAGTTTAACCAAATGTCTGTGAAGCATTTTCACATGCCTCATCCCATTTGATCCTCTCAGAAGTCCTGGAATAGGTAGATAGGAGACTTAGTAGAATCCTGTTTTCTTTTTATTAGCCAGAAAACAGAGATTTAGAAAGTTTAGAAACTTGACCTGACTAAAAAGAAGAAATGGAGAAACAAAGATGGCAGCATAGATAAACACCTAAACTGCTGCCTCCCGTAACAATTTCAAAACTAAAACTAAACGACAGAATGAATATCATCCAGGACCACAGGAAAGCTGGCTGAGTGGAAATTCTATAACTAGAAACAAAGAGGAAAGCTCACAGAGATCAGAGCTGCAAAGCACTGAGGTAGGGAAACGTGCGTGTGGAGAGGAAGGACAGCTGAGTGCCTGGATGATGTACTTTGGTGGGAGAGGGAAGCAAGCCCCCGACTGCACTGAACCCCAGTTCCAACTGCATTGAACCCCAGTTTTTGGTGAAAGGCCAGGCTCATACGGGGGGGAATATGGACTGTCAGGTAGAGAGAGAGGCACACGGAGACTTGGAGAGGAAGCCGCGGCGAGCAGGGGTCTGGAGGTGCTCACGTATGAGCGCACGCATGACTGACTGCTGAGGTTGCTGCTAGTTCTCCCTAGTGGAAGGGAGTCAGAAGCTCCTGACTACACTGAATCCCAGTTCCGACTGCACTGAACCCCAGTTCCATGTGAGCCTGGGGGAGTCTGGACTGTCAGACGGAAACTCAGGGAAGCCTGGAAGGCAGAAGTCTGAAGGTGCAAGCCCAAGGGCAAGGCTGACGGGAAGCCACAACCTTCTACACAGCTCTGAGACTCTGCCCCATCCAAGCTGAGCACAGAGGCTTTTGCAATTTTACAAGTCTGGTCCTATCAAGCTATGTCCAGCACAAGTCTCCTGACATAGACACAGCTGATACATATAGCCAATTGTCCTGGAGGTCAATTCCTCCCATAGATACCAACAACAATCAAAACTTAACTACAACAAGGCTGTACACACAGACCACAAAGTGGTGTATCAAGAGTGTCCACCTCAGGTGACTGGGAAGGCTGACCCACTGGGCCATATATAAGGTGACCAGACGTCCTGCTTTTGGCGGGACAGTCCCAATTTTTAACAATTTGTCCCACGTCCCACAGTGTTTTTAAAAAGTCCCAATTTTTGGAAAGATTAAAATCAGGACTTATTTATTTTTAATATATTTTATTAATTTTTTATAGAGAGGAAGAGAGAGGGATAGAGAGCTAGAAACATCGATGAGAAAGAAACATCGACCAGCTGCCTCCTGCGCACCCCTTACCAGGGATGCGCCTGCAACCAATGTACATGCCCTTGACCGGAATCAAACCTGGGACCTTTCAGTCTGCAGACTGACACTCTATCCACTGAGCCAAACTGGTTTTGGCAAAATCGGGACTTTTTTAAAACACTGCGGGACATGGGACAAATTGTTAAAAAGAGGGACTGTCCTGCCAAAAGTGGGACGTCTGGTCACCTTAGCCAAACAGGAAACCTACCACACAAAGCTACCCTACTAACTCAGGGAAGCAATGAAAATATGGAGACAAAGTAACAGATCACAGAAATATTAAAATATTTCTTCTAATTAATTTTCTTTCAATGTGCACGAATCTGTGCACCGGAACACTAGTATGAATTATAATAAAAATTGTTCATTAGTCATTATTTCCTCTTTTTTTTTTTTTTTTTTTTTATCTGTCCCTTCTGGAGATATAAGAAGGCATTTCCATTGAAGCAACTGCAGGACATCTGGAGTCATGATACATATTTTGAGTTCCACCTTAACTAGATTGGTTAAGACATTTCTTTATTTTTAATTGATTTCAGAGAGAAGGATAGAAACATTAATAATTAGAATCATCGATTGGCTGCCTCTTGCACACCCCCTTCTAGGAATCGAGGTGGCAACCTGGTCATGTGACCTAAATGGCAATTGAACCATGACCTTCTGGTTTGTGGGTTGATGATCAGCCAGTGAGCCAGACCAGCCTAGCAAGACTGGTTAAGTCTTTTAAACTATCAGAGTTTGTCTTTAAGCAAAGATTCTACATTACTGTCTCTCCCTCATTTCAGTCCACTGCAACTCACTGGCCTTTCTGCTGTTCTTTCAATCTACTAAGTGCCCCTGTGCCACCTTAGGACTTACGTACTTCCTGGTATTTGCCAAGCCTATTCTCATCCCAGGTATTCAACATGGCTAACTGCCACACCTTCAAGTCAGCTATTATCTTCTCAGTATCAATTTTAAATCTATTTGAAATCGCTATATCCCACTGTCAGCCAATCACCCCCTTAAACTGCTTTGTTCTTTTATAACTTAGCATCTGCTATATATTATAGAATTTATTTATGCCCATTGTTTTTATTGTCTTACTAGAGTATAAACTCCACGAAAAAAGAGATTCTTTGCTTTTTTTCATTAATGTATCCTAAGCACTTAGAACAGCATCTGACATTCAATATTTGTTGAATGAATGAAATAAGCACCTCCTGCCCTATCCATCTCACAGTTTCTTGAGCATTAAATGTATAGCAAAGTACTTGGGAAATTATAAAGCACTGCTATACAAATGTAGTTATTACTGCAATAATAAATATCTGTTGTTTAAAACCATTTCTATGAGAAAATATTATTTGAGATCCTATACAAGGATACGAAAACTTACCCTATTTTATTTTACCATTTACCTTTTTTAAATACCAGACTGTTAAAGCCTTTCTTATTCAGGGGTTTCCCCAAGTACAGGGTTGCTTAAACAAAAAATAACAATAAAAAGATCAAATTATATAATTTTCTCTACAATTAAAGTGCTTTGTGACCTGTATCTGGACATTTTTTACTAATGCCAGATCTGTCTTTTGAACTAACAAAGTCTGGCCTACAACCGGTGCTTTGTGATCCTAACTGGCTTGTTCATGCTTGTTTCAACCTCAGGACTAGGAAAGGGAAATAATCTACCATGCTCCTGAAAGATTCTATTTTGTCCTTAGCCTAATGTTAATTCTAGGAGAACCTACAATCTGTCAAACCTTACATCTATAACAGTCTTGATTAGGGCTTTCTCTCTAGATACTGGACTACAAAAAGCTTCTCGAAATGCTTCCTGCCAGTCCCTGTTGCTTTGCAACCCCAAAGAATTCCACAGGATTTGCTGATCTTGCAGAACACATGAGAACTCTCATTTTCAACCAAGCCTCGGTCACAATACTAACATCAGATGGCAATGTCTAAGGATGAATGAGAACAAAAGGGCAGTGGGAGTTTTAGCAATAGAAGAGTGACCACCAAAAACTCTTGGTTAAGCAGCTTTCTCTTAGGGCAGATCTCTCCATGACTATGAGCTACAATGAAGTGACATGGTAACTTAAACTTTTGAATATTTGGAATGTTCCCTATTCTACCCAATTAGTTTCATACCTCTAAATTCCTGTTCATTTGGAAAAAAAGTGCCAAACTAAGAGTCAGAAAACTAGATTCTAATACTAACTAACCATATGACCTTAGTTAAGTCTTGACCTTTATACACTTTATAAATTTCCTCTTTTTCATAAATGAAATTTGTAAATTTAACATTTAAAATTTCCAGAATACTAAGTATTTAATTATTTTTAAAGACTTTGTAAAGTAGTTCAACAGCTGTGTTTATATTTTAAAAATACATCCTCACCAATCACTTCTGCTTCCCAATAAGCCTCAAAATCAGTATTGCTAAAGGCATCTATTCTTCTTTTCCTTGATAAATAACTGTTCAATGCTTTTCTTCATTTAGATTCAAACTATAATGCTAAAAACTTCAAGAAAACCTTTCTCTGAAAAAATATATAGCTTATTTTTGAAACGTTACTTTTTAAAAAGTTAATTTTAATTAGAGCTTTTAAAATAGATTTTATATACAGAGTACCAGTACCATACCAATTGAAGAATAATAAAAAAAAATATATAAAATATGCTCTAAATAAGTCAATGGGGTTCAATTTATAACTCGAGTGAGATTTTTCTGAACTTTTTCCAGTGCATTCAGTAATGCCTACAAAGAGCACATTGTCAATAATTGTAAATTTCACTATAACAAAATTTTAGTCATAAAAACTTCCAAATAAATCAGCCTAAAATTCAATTTGCATACAAACTTCAAAATTATTCTCAAATATTAACAACCTTAAATAATTAGAAAGTAAATAGCTTCATATTAGGCTATTCACCAAATAAACTAATGGCAGGTGGATTGTGGCCAATTTATGAAGAACCTTGTAAGTGAAGATGAAGAATTTAAACTTTATCTTGAAATCAATGAAAATGGCATGACCAAACTTAAGTTTTGAAAAAATATAACTCAGGTTACATTGTGAATTGTAAGGATTTAAGGAAACAAGCTGTGAACTAGATGAGGTATATTCTAAGGTAGTGGTAATGAGGCTAGAGAAAAGGGATGGATACAAAAAACAACAACAAAAAAGGTTCTAGTGACTGAATGGCTGTAGTGGATATTTTATTGGGACATATAAACCTGAAGACTAAGAGAAAAAGTTAATAAGGACAGAATTGAGAGTTGCTGGCATATAGGTGGTAACTACAGTCATAGGTATAGGTAATATCCAGGAAAAGTATAAAGGATAGGGCATAGAGTAAAACTTAGAACACATATTTAATGAATGAATGTGGAAAACAACAACCCTGGAAAGTAGTTTGATAAGACAAAACTGAAAGGTGAGTGACATGAGAATATACTATTAGGAGATTTGTAAACACCAATCTTAGAAAGCATTAAATGGAGAAAAATCAATTAGGAGAACAGGTTATAGTAAACATGTGATTATATCTTATCCATGAAAAGTTGTGAGGGGGAAATCCAAGATGTAAAAAAGACATGTCTTTCAAATCTACACAGAACACAAAATGAAGGTTAATATGACAGACACACATCAAAATCTGAAGCTAAAATGAAGAACAGACTTAATGATGAGTCAAAATTAATGAAGTGGAATTAAGCAAATGTAAATCTTCATATTCTTAATTTTAGGTACAAATATCAACTGTCCAAAAAATAAGATGAAGATTTAAATTTTAGGAAAAGGAAAACCAAGATGGCGGCCTAGGGTAGACACCCAAATGCAGCCTACCACAACAAATTTGAATTTAGAACTGGAAAACTGGGGAGGCATTGCCCTAAAGCAGCGGATGGCTAGCTGAGAGGAGGCTCTGCCATCTGGGAAGGAGAGAGAAGGCACACTGAACCTCAGGAGCTGTGAAGGTACGGAGAACTGTGCCCAAGAACAGGCGCTGGCTTACTCCCAGCACGCGGAGAGAGGAAGGGCCGGATCGAGATTGCTACTAGCCGACTCCCGGCATGCAGAGAGGGCAGACAGCTAACGAGCAGCTGGCTTTCTTGTTTGAGAGGAAAACAGAATCACCCTATTGCTCTGATAGACGGCCCAGACAGGGAGAGGCCAGACTGAAAGGCCCCAGGTTTGATTCTGGTCAAGGGCATGTACATTGGTTGCAGGCACATCCCCGGTGGGGGGTGTGCAAGAGGCAGCTGGTCGATGTTTCTCTCTCATCGACGTTTCTAGCTCTCTCTCTCCCTTCCCCTCTGTAAAAAATCATATAAAAAAAAAAGAAAAAGAAAGAAAAAAGAAGCAAGAAGATAAGAGAATCCAGAAAGTTGAGGATAGTGTAAGAAACCTCTGGGACAATTTCAATTGAACCAACATCAGAATTATGGGGATCCCAGAAGAAGAGAGAGAGCAAGATACCGAAAATATACTAAAAGAAATAGTGACAGAAAACTTCCCCCACCTGGGGAAAGAAATAGACTTACGAGTCCAGGAAGCCCGCAGAACCCCAAACAAAAGGAATCCAAGGAGGACCACACCAAGACACATCATAATTAAAATTCCAAGAGCAAAAGACAAAGAGAGAATATTAAAAGCAGCAAGAGAGAAACAGGTAGTTACCTATAAAGGAGCACCCATACAATTGTCAGCTGATTTCTCAAAAGAAACCATGCAGGCCAGATGGGAATGGCAAGAAATATTCAAGGTGATGAATAGCAAGAACCTACAGCCAAAAATACTCTACCCAGCAAAGCTATCAGTCAGAATCGAAGGCCAGATAAAGAGCTTCACAAATAAAAAAAAAAGCTAAAGAACTTCATCACCGCCAAACCAGAATTATTTCAATATATGAATTGCTGAAGGGAGTTATTTAGGAAGAGGAAGAAGATGAAGATAAAAATTATGAACAACAAATACGTAACTATCAACAAGTGAATCTAAAAACCAAGGGAATTAAAAAATCTGATGAACAATATTAACTGGTGAATATAATAGAATCAGAGGTATGGAAGGAGAGTGAACTGACGATTCTCGGAGAAAAGGGGAGTGGGGTGTGGGAAAAGACTGAACAAAAACTGTGCACCTATGGATGAGGACAATGGGGGATGGGGAAAGGGCAGAGGTGGGGTGGGAACCTGGTGGAAGGGAGCAATTGAGGGGAGGGAGGAGGGACGTATTTGTAATAATCTGAACAATAAAGATTTTTTTTTTTTTAAATCAATGAAAACATATCCTCCAGTGAGGATAAAAAAATTTAAAAAAAGATTTAGATTTTAAATAAAAGGATCATTTAAAAAATATCAACTTTGATATGGGTCAATAAATAGCTACTAAAAACATATATTCTTTGTCTTGTGTGCTGCATTTATTAAATGCCAAATATGACCAAAACAAGGGTGACAAATCCGACTGTATCAATCTGGAATATTAGATTCAATTCTGGGTTCCATATTTTGAAAAAAATGCCCATAAATAAATGACCTGGAAATCATACTATTATATATATAGAATTATTAAAGGAACTGAGAGTATTTAAAAAAGAAAAATAAGTGAAGGATATAATGATAGTGTTTAAAAATTTGTATAGTTACCAATAGAAAAGAGAAGACTGCTCCTATATAACATGCCAGAGTATATAATATACTAAAGGCCTGGTGCACAAATTCGTGCATTGGTAGGGCCCCTCTGGGTGGCCTGCGGGGATCTGGCCAAAAGCTGAAGTCCAACACTTCCTGCAGCTCCTACCTGCTGCTCCCACTCATTCCAGTCCCACTGAGCTTGCTGCGGACTTGCACCCAATCAGTCCCAATCAGCAGAGGCTCGTGCTGCCCCAGTAGCACTGGCGAGCCATGTGTGTCCTGGATAGCGCTCTTCTGAAGTGAGTGGCCTGCAGAATGAGGCTAAAACTGGTGCTCTGACATTCCCCGAGGGTCCCGGATTGCAAGAGGGAGCAGGCCAGGACTAGGGAGCCCACCAGTGCACAATCAGGCTGCAGAGGGACTGCGGGAGGGCTCCAGGGCATGTCTGGCCCATCCCACTCAGTCCTGGTTGAATGGATCCCAGGAGCAAGCTAACTTACCGGTTGGAGCATCTGCCCCCTAGTGGTCAGTGCACATCATAGGAACTGGCCGACCAGATGACTGTCCCCTGGTGGTTAGTGCATGTCATAGCGAGCAGTTGAGCAGCCTTAGCATATCATTAACATTATTACGCTTTGATTGATTTAACAGTTGACCAGTCACCAGAAGACTGGACACTTAGCATATTAGGCTTTTATTATGTAGGATACAACTGGTTTTGAATCATTTGACATTTGCCAAAAGAGTTACCCACAAGGGATTTAAATTTGCACCATTACCAAGTGCAAATCTAAGGGGAATTTTAATTAAAATTCACTAAACTAATAAAATATTTTACCTTAAAAATGTAACAAATTCTTTACAGGAAAATGTTTTTGCTAAGCTTATTCTTCACAAATGTGTGTTTTATGACAAAATATTATTGAGGGATAAGCAAAAATGAACCTAACTTACTTAAATTATTTTCCTCTAAACAATTTAAAGTGGGGGAAAAGGTGCTAATGTGAATTCAGAAGTTATGTAAAACAGTGATGAATTATTTAGTAGATATTATACTGAAATTAAGTACAGCAGTTTTGAAATTACTTATTGCTTTTCATTGTTCCTGCAAGTCTTCAGGTTCCTAAATGTAAAATAAGACAAGCCGAAACCGGTTTGGCTCAGCGGTAGAGCATCGGTCTGTGGACTGAAAGGTCCCAGGTTCGATTCCGGTCAAGGGCATGTACATTGGTTGCGGGCGCATCCCCGGTGGGGGGTGTGCAAGAGGCAGCTGGTCGATGTTTCTCTCTCATCGATGTTTCTAGCTCTCTATCTCTCTCCCTTCCTCTCTGTAAAAAAATCAATAAAATATATTTTAAATAAATAAATAAATAAATAAATAAATAAATAAATAAATAAATAAGACAAGACGAAACAGGTTTGGCTCAGTGGTAGAGCGTCGGTCTGCAGACTGAAAGGTCCCGGGTTCGATTCTGGTCAAGGGCATGTACCTTGGTTGCGGGCGCATCCCCGGTGGGGGGTGTGCAAGAGGCAGCTGGTCGATGTTTCTCTCTCATCGACGTTTCTAGCTCTCTATCTCTCCCCCTTCCTCTCTGTAAAAAATCAATAAAATATATTTTTAAAAAAATAAGACCAAAGTATTAATGTAACTGACAAAAATAAATAATTTTAATAGTTCCTATACATTTACCAACAAATTTTAAGAGTATAATTAACTATATAGATCCTCAGGTAAACAAACCATTCATAACCAATGAACATGGTCCTGAATCATAATCAAAAGGATAAAAGACATAGAAAATATACTTATCTTAACAGAATCTGCTTCTAAATATGTCTAAACGATGCTGAAACCGGTTTGGCTCAGTGGATAAGCGTCGGTCTGAGGACTGAGAGGTCCCGGGTTAGATTCTGGTCAAGCGCATGTTTCTTGGTTGCGGGCACATCCCCAGTGGGGGGTATGCAGGAGGCAGTTGGTCAATGACTCTCTCTCATCGATGTCTCTGACTCTCTATCCCTCTCTCTTCCTCTCTGTGAAAAATCAATAATATATATATATTTTTTAAATAAATATGTCTAAATGAAACAGATAATCCTCTGTATTGACTTATACCACCAAAAATCAGATTAAGAAAATTAATATAAGACATTTGTTTTTCTCTTAAGTATAAGAAACAGAATTAAGGAAAATTTAAAATAACTACTGGGAGAGTAATTTATTATAGGTAATAAAAATACAAATTTTCTTTTTTATACCATCATCAGTTGGATCAGAGTACAAAAACAGATGCTCACTCTACAAATACTTTTTCATAGTGTAAATTAATAAAAATTCATAAATGTAAATAAATATCAATTACATTTATATTCATACATGTTAATAACTATCACTTTATATAAATAAATGAGGACAGAATTAAATGAGAGAAAAACTAGCTCTTCCAATTCTTCAGTGATAAATATATGGTTTAATATTTGCAGTGATAAATATCTGGTTTAAAATTTAAAAAGAAAATTTCACCCATTCAGCGTGGCTCAGTGATTGAGCACTGACCTGTGAACTAGGACAGTGGTCAGCAAACTCATTATTCAATAGAGCCAAATTTCAACAGTACAATGATTAAATTTCTTTTGAGAGCCAAATTTTTTAAACTTAAACTTCTTCTAACACCACTTCTTCAAAATAGACTCGCCCAGTCCATGGTATTTTTTGGAGAGCCAAACTCAAGGGGCCAAAGAGCCTCATGTGGCTCTCGAGCCGCAGTTTGCCGACCACGGAACTAGGAGATCTTGGTTCAATTCCTGGTTCAATATACCCAGGTTGTGGGCATACAGGAGGCAGCTAATCAATGGTTCTCTCTCATTATTGATGTTTCTCTCTCTCCCATTTCCCTTCCTCTCTGAAATCAATAAAATATATTTAAAAAAAAAAAAACAAATGCCTACTTCTGGGCCAGATTATTGAGTGATAAAATAGTATTCCTTGGATAAAACTCTTTATTCCCTATTTCCCCTCCCATCTTTGCAAGTTTCTATTTAAATCACTAATCTGGTTTATCAGGCCTTTTACTGCTAAGATTAAAGTACCCTTATAGTTAAAAATACATATCTATCTAACTATATGACCATTTATCTACTTTTTTTCATTCCACAAATCTTTGGTGGAAAAGGATTAAAAGAATAGCAATACACATCATAACAGAAATAAATTAGTTCAGAGCCACTGCTAAATATCTTATTCATCGTATTAAATTCTCCTCACATTGCCCAAACCGGTTTGGCTCAGTGGTAGAGCGTAGGTCTGCGGACTGAAAGGTCCCGGGTTCGATTCCGGTCAAGGGCACATACATTGGTTTCAGGCACATCCCTGGTAGGGGGTGTGCAAGAGGCAGCTGGTCAATGTTTCTCTCTCATCGACGTTTCTAGCTCTCTATCCCTCTCTCCTCCTCTCTAAAAAATCAATAAAATATAAAAAATTAAAAAATTAAAAAAATAAATTCTCCTAAGGACCAAAAACACAAAACCAACACCAAAACCTATACTTCTTTAGTTTCGAGAATCCCAAAGCTTTAACAAGGCTCTACTTAATGGTACTTAGGTAAGCATTTTTTTTTTCTATTAAAGTAGGAAATGGACAAAATCAATAAAGTACTTCCTACTTTCTAATATGACTGACTAAATATGTTCTAACAAATGATACTGTTAATCTAAAAATAATTCACTTTGGCCCTAAAAGCACTTCTTACCTTCTCATGGTCTTGCAACAAAAGAAGGAACTATTTTCTAATTAGAGCTGGTCCATCAAAGTAACCTCAGAGGCATAACACAGAGTATTAGTCAAAAGTCAATGCCAGAAGTAGCAAGAAGTGAGCAGGGAGGCTTGAGTTTTATACTTCATCTAAAGAGTCTCAGATCTGCTTTGTATTTTCTTTTCCAATTTTGATAAAACTGACAGTCCGAGAAGATGTGCCAACTTGCTTTATTTCAAAGGTATGCATGTCTCAGAATGAACAAATCAAATCAACTTAGGAAATTAAGTTAGTATTTCCTAAGCCAGTGGTAATGTACTGTTGTGGGAAGGAATCTAAAATACATGCTAGGCATCCCAGCCAGTTTGGGTCAGTGGATAAAGCATTGGTCTGCAGACTGAAGGACTGTGGGTTCAATTCCATTCAAGGGCATGTACCTTGGTTGCAGGCTCGATCCCCTGGCCATGTGAGAGAGGCAACCAATCAATGTGTCTCTCACATTGATGTTTCTCTTTCTCTCCCCCTCACTTCAACACTGTCTAAAAATCAATGAAAAAATGTCCTCAGGTGAGGATTAACAAACAAGCAAAAATATCCTATGTAATCCTATATAATAAAAGGCTAATAGGAAAATTGTCCCCTTGGGAGTTCAACTGACCAGGAGTTTGATCACTCTCTCTAGGTGTGCTGACCATCAGGGGGTGACACAGAATAAAGGAAGGCCCCGGCCTACAGCTGGCAGCCAGGGAAAGGAAGGTCTCTATTGGCCCTGATCGCTGGCCTGGTCTAGGGACCCTAAACGTGCACAAATTTTGTGCACTAGACCTCTAATATATTAATAATAATAATAAATACATTGTAGGCAATGGTGAAAAATAACTCTTAAATACTAAACTTGCATAGATGTCCCACCAAGGACAATGGTACCCTAATGCCATTCTCTGACACAGCATGACAAAGAACACCTGGCTACATCCCAGCTCTACTACTTACTGGGGGTATAATTTTTAACAAGGTATTTAACAGCTCTATGCTTTGGTTTCCTCATCTGTAAAATGGAGATAATAGCATTAAATAATACAGAAAGATTAAATAATACAGGACACATGAAAAGCACTAAGCACAATGTCTGTTACAAAACTATGAATTCGAATGTTGTCAGTGAATAGATAACTACACAAGTAACTAAGAATTGAGAACACCATTATTACTTTTTTCTTTAAAAAACATTAAATATTAAGATATAAACTAATTCAAAACCAAGAAAGCCACTGAGGTCTTTTAGACTAGATTTAATTTTTGTTGATTGCTCTTATACTTATAAAGAATAAAAAGGCAAAATCAGAATATCTTGTTTTAAGTCTCATTTTTAACAAAATCACTAATCAGTTGAGCTTGGGCAAATCATTAACTTCTCTGTCCATGCATCCTTTATAATAAAAGGCTAATATGCAAATAGATCCAACAGTGGAACAACCAAAAAACCGAACAACCAAACAACTGGTCGCTATGATATGTCCGACCACCAGGGGGCGTGCAGGGACCATGGCTCGCATTGGCAGCAAGCAGCAGAGCAGGAACATGGCAGGAGTCAGCAGCGGCGTGATGGTGGAGTAGGTGAGCGGGGGCACCAGAACAAGGCAGAGCACGGGCTGCTGTCATTGGGGCATGCCTCTGGTGGTTACTGAAAATTCTTTGCTGCCGTGCACCACAGTCCTGCCCGGTGCTTGCACCTGCTGCCAGCATTAGCCCCATTTGCACCTGCTGCTGGTGCCCGAGCCACTATACTACTTGTATCCGCTGCCAGCACCTGGCACCGGCCCTGATATCTCAGCACCATCAGAGGGTGCAAGCGGCAGCTGCTGGCCCCAATTGCCTCTCAGGGCTTCTCCACCTCCCCCTGATTCTAAGGGGCAAGTGGGGCTGGCAGCTGCCTCTAGCACCTGCTGCCAGCGCTGGCCTCACTTGCATCCACAGCTGGCACCAGAGCTGCCACTCACACCCACTACTAGCTCCTGGCGCTGATCCTGATTGCTTGGCGCCATCAGCGGGTACAAGTGGCAGCTGCTGCTCAATTACCCCTGAGGGCTTCTCCACCTCCCCCTGATCCTAAGGGGCAATTGGGGCAGCAGCCACCACTTGCACCTGCTGCCAGCGCTGGCCTCACTTGCACCAGAGCTGCCACTCACACCCACTACTAGCTCCTGGCGCCGATCCTGATTGCTTGGCGCCATCAGCAGGGACAAGTGGCAGCTGCTGCCTCAATTACTCCTGAGGGCTTCTCCACCTCCCCCTGATCCTAAGGGGCAATTGGGGCAGCAGCCATCACTTGCACCCACTGCTGGCGTTGGCCTCAATCGCTCCATATCATCAGGGGTATGAAGAGGGCTAGCACCATCGGTGCATGGGAGTGGCAGCAGTGGGAGCAGGGCTGCCAACAGACAAGGGACTAGGGGCCGCGGCAGGAGGGGCCAGGCAGGGGTACAGAGGATGGGCCAAGGCCTGCCCCTGTGCCCACCACAGCCTCACAGCCCACAGTTCCTTTAAAGATGCACAAATCTGTGCACTGGGCCCCTAGTTAATATATGAACCAGAAGACATACAATCTGTCCATTCCAATACAAATGTACAATGGAAGATTCAAATAAGATATACATAAAGAGCTAATATTTACAAGGCACAATAGCTTAATTATAATTTAATTTTCCTATCAAAACTACAAATATCACCCATCAAGAACATGCAGTTAATAAGATATACAAAAATTCCAGGCTTTATAAAAATAATCTATTTTTTTTGCATTAATGATGAACAGATATATTTATATAAAAATTAGTAATGTGCGGCAAAAATCACAGTGATTCTATTATTTGCTAAAAGTATTCTTCTCAAGAAAAATAACAAGTGAAAAAAAAGGTCTCAGATACTTACTAAAAAGAACTACATAATATTTTAACTGTGCAGGATTTTACAAATGCTGTAAGAGATTTAGTCATTAAAATGACAAAATTAGGCCTGGCTGGTGTGCTCAGTGGATGAGCATCTACCTAAAAACAGGAGATAACAATTTGATTCCTGCTCAGGTCATATGTCTGGGTTATAGGCTCAATCCTTGGGTGTGAGGTGTGCAGACAGCAGTCAATCAATGATGCTCTCTCATCATTGATGTTTATATCTCTCTCTCCCTCTTCCTTCCTCTCTGAAATAAATACAAATTAGAAATAAACTTATAAAATTCAACTTATGAAGTTAATATGGCAACCGGCAGAAAAGTAGGGAGTGAGAAAGTGAGAGTGCGATAGAGGAGTGTGTGTGTGTGTGTGTGTGTGTGTGTGTGAGAGAGAGAGAGAGAGAGAGAGAGAGAGAGAGAGAGAGAGAGAGCGAGCGCGCGCGCACGCGAGCGAGCTAGGGACAGTTAGATTCTGAAGGTCTTCCAAGGGGCTGCCAAACCAGGCAGTCTTAGACGGCGGAGCTCCGCTCCCACCGCGGACACTCCAGGGAGGCCAGTGTGGGCACAGAGACCATGCCATCTTGAGAAACAGCTGCTTGAGACTAGGATCCTGGCTTCAGATGCAAACCCAATCTGGTCTCAGATGCAAACCAGGACCCTGCAGCCACTGGGGACAGAGACCTGCAACCACAGCTGCGGACCCACAGACACCAAGAATCCAAACATCCAGGCTGCAGATTTCTGTGAGTCACAGATCCTACCCCCCTCCCTGCAGAATCTCGGGCAGCACCATAGTCACTGATAGATCTGCCCCTCACACGGGCCACAGCGCCTCTACAGGAATTTGAGCCTGGGAGCCCACGGACACAGAGAATCTATTCCCCACAATGCAATTGGGCAACCAAACCTAAAGCCCACGCAGGGTGGCAGTGCCACCTGACTTCTGTTTTCCACAGTGCAGAAGTGGATCTCCTGCCAAAACAGTGTTTCTGTGCAACCCAGTCCCCCAAGCTGACAGGGACCCTAATTCTCCAGGCGGAAGGCAGCACTGAGCACCAGTGACTTCACATAAGGACCAGCGACTCCAATTCTTGGTACATGCACAATAGGGACCCTGATTCTTAGTGAGAGGTCACATGAAGCAACAGAGACTCTGATACTCAATTCTTGGTGCAGGCACAGGGGAACTCTGAATCCTGGCATGCACTAAAGGTCTCTGATTTTCGGTATATGCCAGTGGGGTCTCTTAAGCGTGGTGCAGGTGGGGTTCCTGATTCTAGGTGCGTACACAAGACCACACTGAGCGCTGGTAACACTGACCCTGGGCAGGCCTAGTTCCCACCAACACACAATAGCCACACATTTTAGTGTTGGAGCTCTTCAGGGACACTCACTACACATGGCACAGGCCCATGCAACTCGACAACTGAGACAACACAATCCCCAGAGGGGGGAAAAATGAGGAGTTGCCAAGAAAGGAAATTTAGTGAAAATGAAGCATGCAACATGACAGAAAAAGAACTCGGAGTAATGGTCATATAATTTATATACTAGATGGATGAGAAAATCAACAACCTATGCAAAAATCAGGAAGAAATAAAAAATGATATAGCTACAATCACAAACACCATGGAAGGTTTCAACAGTAGACTCAAAGAAACAGAGGAACAAATAAGTGAATTAGAAGATAAGGTAGAGAAACAAGCTCAATCTGAACAGCAACTAGAGAAAAAAATTAAAAAGCATGAGGAGAGTCTAAAGGAGCTTTGGGACAACATAAAACAAAATAGCATACATATAATAGAGCTGCCAGAAGAACAAGAAGAGCAGCAAGGATTAGAAAATCTATTTGAATAAATAATGACAGAAAACTTCCTGGATATGGGGAAGAAAAAAACTATACAAGTACAGAGTCCCAAGCAAGATGAATCGCAAAAGACCCACACCAAGACACATCATAATTACAATGGCAAATGTTAACAACAAAGAAAGAATCTTAAAGGCTTCAAGAGAAAGACATAGAGTTACCTATAAAGGATCCCCCATCAGATTATCAAATGATTTCTCATCAGAAACACATCAAGCTAGAAGGGAATGAAAGGAGGTATATAAAGTCTTGCACAGCAAAGGACTGAATCCATATCAAAATTGAAGAGGAAATCAGGAGCTTCGCAGACAAAAAAAGGCTAAGGGAGTTTATCACTACCAACCCAGCAATGCAAGAAATGCTAAAGGGAATGCTGAAAAAAGAAGAAATAAAAAGTTAAGAAGTAACACAGGAACAAAAATAGAAATGACTACAAATAAGTACCTTTCAATAATAACTTTAAATGTTAACAGACTAAATGCTCCAATCAAAAGACATCGAGTGGTTGAATGGACAAAAAAACCCCGACCCATATATATGCTGTGAACAAGAGACCCACCTCAGAACAAGGGACTCACATATACTGAAAGTGAAGGGATGGAAAAATATATTTCAGGCAATCAGAAATGAAAAAAAAAGCTGGGGTAGCAATACTTACTTATATATGACAAAATAGACATCAAAGTGAAAGCTATAACAAGAGATAAGGACGGCCACTTCATAATACTAAAGGGATTGATACAACAAGAGGTTATAACCCTGATAAACATATATGCACCCAATGTAGGAGCACCCAAATACATTAAAAAAAAAATCCTGGAAGATATCAAGGGAGAGATCGACAACAATACAACCATAGTAGGAGACTTTAATACCTCCCTATCACCATTGGACAAATCATATAAACAAAAAATCAGCAAAGAAACATCAATCCTAAATTACTCACTAGACCAGATGGAATTAACATCTTCAGAACATTTCACCCCAAAGCCACGAAATATACATTCTTCTGAAGTGCACAAGGGACATTTTAAAAAATAGACCATATATTGGGTCATAAGCAAAGTTTCCCCAAATTCAAGTATCTTCTCAGGCCATAATGGCATAATATTAGAAATAAACTACAATAAAAACAAACCAAAAAACTCAAACACTTGAAAGCTGAATAGCATACTATTGAATAATGACTGGGTTACCAATGAGATCAAAGAAGAAATTAAAACATCATGGAAACTAATGACAATAAAAACACAACCATCCAAAATCTATGGGACACAATGAAAGCAGTCCTGAGAGGAAAATTTATAGCTCTACAGGCCTACCTCAAAAAACAAAACAAAAAATTGAAGTAAATCATCTAATGCTACAACTCCAAGAATTAGAAAGAGAGCAACAAGAAAAGCCCAGAGTGAGGAGAAGGAAGAAGATAATAAAGATCAGAGAAGAAATAAATGACATACACACACACACACACAAAATACAAAAGATCAATGAAACCAAGAGCTGGTTCTTTGAAAGGATAAACAAGATTGATGAACCTCTAGCTAGGCTCACTAAGAAGCAAAGAGAGAAGACCCAAATGAACAAAATCAGAAATGAAAGAGGCTAAATAACAACAGAACCTATAGAAACACAAACGATGGTTAAAAATACTATGAACAACTCTACTCCAACAAACTAGACAACCTAGAGGAAATGGACATATTCCTAGAAAAATACAACCTTCCAAAACTCATTCAGAAAGATTCTAAAAATCTCAATAGACCGAAAACTATGGAAGAAACTGAAGCAGTCATCAAAGAGCTTCTAGCAAACAAAAGTCCAGGACCAGACAGCTTCACAGGGGAGTTATACCAACCACTAAGGAAGAACTAAAACTTAAATTCTTCAGACTATTCCAAAAAATTGCAGAGGAAGGAACACTTCCAAGCTCATTCTATGAAGCCAGGATTACCTTACAGCTAAAGATAACACAATGAAAGAGAATTACATGAACATAGATGCCAAAATCCTCAAAATTCTAGCAAATCAGATCCAGCAGTACATCAGAAAGATCATACACCATGACCAAGTAGGATTTATCCCAGGGATGCAAGGATGGTACAATATCCGCAAATCAATAAACATGATATATCACATAAACAAATTGAGGGATAAAAATCACATAATCATATCAAGTGATGGAGAAAAGCATTTGACAAAATCACAACACTCGTTCTTGATAAAAACTCTCAGCAAGGTGGGAACAGAAGGATCATACCTCAACATAATAAAAGCCATATATGACAAACACACAGCCAACATCATATTCAATGGACAAAAACTAAAACCATTTTCCCTAAGAACAGTAACAAGACAAGGATGTCCATTCTCACCGCTCCTGTACCACATAATACTGGAAGTGCTAGCCATTGTGATCAGACAAGAAGAAGAATTAAAAGGCATCCAATTGGAAAAGAAGTAAAACTGTCCTTATTGACAGATGACATGATACTGTACATAGAAAACCCTAAAGACTCCATCAAAAAATTATTAGACTTAATAAATTCAATGCAGCAGGATACAAAATTAATGCCAAGAAATCTATAGCATTTTTTTCACCAATATTGAACTTACAGAAAAAGAGACTAAAAAAGCAATCCCATTTACCATTGCACCAAAAAAATTAAAAGATACCTAGGAATAAACTTAACTAAGAAGGTAAAAGACCTATATGTGAAAAACTATAGGGCACTCAAAAAAGAGATAGAGGAAGACATAAACAGATGAAAGAACATACTTTGTTCATGGACTGGTAGAATCAAAATCATCAAAATGTCCATATTACCCAAAGCAATCTATAGACTCAATGCATTTCCCATTAAAATACCATTGGCATATTTCACAGACCTAGAACAAATTATCCAAAACTTCATGTGGATAAAAAAAGATTCCGAATAGCTGCAGCAATCCCGAGAAAGAAGAACAAAGTAAGTGTTCAATATCACATTCAAGCTGTATTATAAAGCCACTGTTTTCAAAAGAGCCTGGTATTGGCACAAGAACAAACATATAGATCAATGAAATAGAATGAATAATCCAGAAATTGACCCAAACCACTATGCCCAATTAATATTCGACAAAGGAGGCATGAACATACAATGGAGTCAAGACAGTCTCTTTAATAAACGTGTTGGGAAAATTAGACAGATACTTCCAAAAAAAATGAAACTAGACCACCAACATATACCGTACACAAAAATAAACTCAAAATGGTTAAAGGACTTAAACGTAAGGCAAGAAACCATAAAAATATCAAAGGAATCCACAGGCAGTGAAATCTCGGTTATATGCCAAAGCAATTTCTTCACTGAAACTGCTCCTAGGGCAATGGAAACTAAAGAGAAAATAAACAAATGGGAATACATCAAAATAAAAAGCTTTTGTACAGAAAAGGAAACCATCAACAAAACAACAAGAAAACCCACTGCATGGAAGAACATATTTGCCAATGTTATCACCCATAGGGTTTAATCTCCAACATTTACAGGGAACTCATACAACTTAACAAAAGGAAGATAAACAATCCAACCAAAAAATGGACAAAGGACCTAAATAGATACTTTTCGAAAGAAGAAAGAAGGAAGGCCAAGAGACATATGAAAACATGTTCAAAGTCACTAATTATCTAAGAGATGCAAATCAAAACGACAATATGGTATCATCTCACACCTGTTAGAATGGCTATTATCAACAAATCAACAAATGACAAATGTTGGCGAGGATGCAGAGAAAAAGAAATCCTTTTGCACTGCTGGTGGGAATGCAGACTGGTGCATCCACTATAGAGAACAGTATGGAGTTTCCTCAAAAAACTAAAAATGGAACTCCCATTTGACCCCATGATTCCACTACTAGGAATATATCCCAAGAAACCAGAAACACCAATCA